TCTTAACTTTAAGATACAATTTAGATGCTTAGATGTATCAGGGAACTTTAGAACAATAAAAAAAACTGAGTACAAAAAAAAAATTGACGGTTTATAGAAGATGTAGAGATTCGGTATTGCCCCAAAGGGAAATCCAAAAAATATTCCTACCATTATATTCCCGATGTACGTTGCGTTACATATAAAAAAAGTGTAACATTTAATGAACTGTGAAAGTGTGAATGCACCTGGTTGAAAAAAAAGTATAAAATAAAAGGAGTTTTTGCCTTATGAAGAGGTGGTTCTTGCATTGGAAATGAAAACAATATAATAGAAAAACGTCACAAGATCGTACCTTAATAAATAGATCTACTCTTTACTCAACAAGATGGTAGAAGAATCTCTCTTGAAGAGAAATACTCTTAATATTATTGAGATAATTTCTGAATACCTTACAATGAAGACTTGGTAGCCTATTTATAGGGTAAACTAAGTAAATAAAAAGAAAATAAAATTTTTTAATTTGATTTGCAATTACATATAAAATAAATTAAAAATTAAAAATTAAAAACTAATTTCCTAACTAAGATAAATTTAGTTTTTCCCTTTAATTAAAAGAAATTATGATCAAATTAATTGGGAGACATGAAAATTTAGGGCCGACTATAAGATCTCATTTTTGGCCTATTCCCTCCTATTTCTTTAGATTGGACCTTCTCTTTATGCTCCATGTCCATGCTCACATCACTCTATCTTATCTTTAATAAAGTGTTTATTAATCTCCAAATACTTAGTTAAATAATAATGAACTGAATTATTTGCTATGTTCATTGTGGATTGATTGTTACATAACACTTTCATAAACTCTAAAAAGGGAATTCTCAATTCACCTAATACCCTATGTAGCCGCATTCTTTTACAGATACCATGTGCTAAAACTTTAAAATCAGCCTCAACATTATTCTTTGATACCACGAATTGCTTCTTACTTTTCTAAGTAACTAAGTTTACCCAAACGTATGTACAATATTCATATGTGGATCTTATATCAATTATAGAATTAGACCAATATGCATAAGTATATATATCAATTTCTTGGTTTATATTTTTCTTGAAAATTAGTCATTGTCCAATTATCATTTTTAAATACTTGAGAAGCCAAAACACTGTCTCCAAAATTCTTTAGTTGGGCTACTTATGAATTAATTTACCACACTAATGACAAAACTTGATATCTGGTAAGAAATGTGAGAGGTAAATCAATTTTCCCACTAGACCT